CAGACCCAACTGCGCGGCCGAGGCGACAGCGCTGCCCAGCCCGGACGGCCATGGGGTGGCTCTGGGCGCTCGCGGCCTCCGGGTCTCACACCAGCCTGGGCGGCGCCCAGCCCGGTCACTGGCCGCTGCCCCCAGGGCCAGATGCCCCCGCCCCTCCCGCTCCCACCCGTCCTGTCCCCTGTCCTGGAGCCTCTGTCCCGGTGGGCGCAGACCTGAGGGAAGCCCCCCGCCCCCCCCCCGCCGCCCGGGCCCCCGGCACACGGAGCCCTTCCGCAGCTCAGCGCCTGCCGGAGAACAGGAACGTGCTCCCCGCACCGCCTGGCTGGGGAGTGGCCGCGGCTCGCTTGGCTTCCGGGGGCTCCGCTTGTCCAGCGCAGGCCACGGGGGGCAGCTCCCTGGACTAGGAGCGGGGCCTCGGTGCCCCATGCCGTGAGGGAGAGAAGCACAGAGTCGGGGGACGCCACGCCCAAGAGGCCGCTCTTTCCCAGCCGGCCACGGAAGCGAGTGCGAGCAATCACAAGCTGGGCGGGGACGGGGCCGCCCCAGTCGCATCCCCGGCCTCGGGCTGCAGCTGACCGTGTCCACAGCAGCTGACTGGCAGCTCAGGGCAGGCCCAGACGGCGGGGCTGCTGGCTGTGGCCTGGCCTGGCCCCTGGCCACTGCTGCTCATGCCAGCCAGCGGGGATTAGGATACACCCCCAAAACCTGTACGTGGGCAGGGGCAGCGGGGTGGCGCTGGGGACTTCCCGGGCTGGGGGGTTGGGCAGCTGGCCGACGCCTCCCTCCCTGGATTTGCGAGGCTCAGGAAGGGCAGGCTGCCCACGCCCCGCGGGGGTGCCCGCGGCCAGGGAGGGCACTGCTCGCAGCCTGCGGTAAACATTAACCCGTCTCCGCCCCAACTGCCGCCAGAGCACTGTCCCGCCCCCGCCAACACCTCCCTCTGCGACCTTCTGCCCAGCTCCACCGGCTCCAGGACTAAGCCCCTACAGCCTCCGAGGGCGGGGCCTCGTGGGGTGCGCTGCGACCCCTCCCCGCCTCTGTGGTCTGTTAGGGTCACGCGACAGCCCCAGCCCCCTGAAGGGCCCTAGAAATAGGTCCTCCAGCGAGGGCTGAGGGCAGCCCGGGGGCCCCGGCTCGGGGCTGCGGCTGGCCCAGGAGGAGGGGGCCTGGGGTG